GATTTTATTTATTTATTTGTCAGAGAGAGAGAGGGAGAGAGAGTGAGCACAGGCAGACAGAATGGCAGGCAGAGGCAGAGGGAGAAGCAGGCTCCCTGATGAGCAAGGAGCCCGATGTGGGACTCGATCCCAGGACGCTGGGATCATGACCCGAGCCGAAGGCAGCTGCTTAACCAACTGAGCCACCCAGGTGTCCCCCATCTCTCACTTTAAATCAAAGCTAGACATGACGCAGGGCAGTGAGGAAGGCTGAAAACCGGGATGGGCCAAAAGTTAGCCTCTTGCCCCAGTGGGCCGAGCTGTGAGTTCAAAGGAGAAACTCCTGAAGTGTCACTCCAGGGAACACACAAAGACAAGAAAGCAAAACAGCCTTATTGCTGATCAAACCAGCCACAGTCTATTGCTTCTGAGCCTTTTGGCTAAGATCAAGTGAAACCAGCCACAGTCTACTCCAAAGGAAAGCCCTGACTCTCCTCGACTCTGTAAAGGCTGAGAGATGGGGGAGGGGAGCTGCAGAATGGGAGCGCGAAGCCAGCAGAGGCTGGTTTGAACAGACAGAAGCCGTCTCTGTTATGCGAAAGTACACGCAGAGAAGCACCTGCAGGTGCAGAAGCAGCGTCAAGTTCTCCAGAAGGTCCAGCGGAGATCACCAGTGAAGGTGGCTGGCTTAACAGATTTTCAACGGAGACAAAGCCTCCTGACTTTGGGAGAAGATGCCATCTAGGGCTGTCTTAGCCAGAGAGTAGAAGTCATTGCCTGACTTCAAACCTTCAAAGGACAGGCTGACTCTCTCTCTTTTTATTTTTTTTAAGATTTTATTTATTTATTTGACAGACAGAGATCACAGGTAGGCAGAGAGGCAGGGAGGAAGCAGGCTCCCTGCTGAGCAGAGAGCCCGATGTGGGGCTCGATCCCAGGACCCTGAGATCATGACCTGAGCCGAAGGCAGAGGCTTAACCCACTGAGCCCCCCCAGGCACCCCACAGGCTGACTCTCTTGTCAGGGGCCAACGTAACTGGTGACTTTAGGTTGAAGCCAACGCTCCCCGATCACTGAGAAAATCCAAGTGTCCTTAAGAATTATGTTAAGAGAGGCACCTGGGGGGCTCAGTGGGTGAAGCCTCTGCCTTCGGCTTGGGTCATGGTCTCGGGTCCTGGGATCGAGTCCCGCATCAGGCTCTCTGCTCAGCAGGGAGCCTGCTTCCTCCCTGCCTCTCTGCCTGCCTCTCTGCCTACTTGTGATCTTTATCTGTCAAATGAATAAATAAAATCTTTAAAAAATATATTTATTTATTAGAGTGCACATGAGAAAGAGCAAAAGAGCAAAAGCAGAGAGAGAAGCAGACTTCCTGCTGAGCTGAGAGCCCAATGCGGGGCTCTGTCCCAGGACCCTGGGATCACGACCCAAGCTGAAGACAGATGCTTAGCCAAATGAGCCACCAATGTGCCCCATAAATAAAATCTTAAGAAAAAGAAAAAAATTTTTTTGACAAATTCATTACAATTTAAATCTTTTACCCTTCATAAGACAAGTATTAAGAAAATGAAAATATAAGCTACAGATAAAAAGTATTTGCTAAACATACATGTTACAAAACGTAATGTTACAAAGGACTTATATCCAGAATGTATAAAGAGTTCTGAAATCTTTAAGAAAACAACCAATCGGAAATGGGCAAAAGATCCCAACTTCGGGCAGATTCCCCAAAGAAGATGTATCAACTGCAGGTAAGCACATGAAAAGATCCCCAACAGCATCAGTCATCAGGGAAACACAAATCCGAACCACAATAAGATACCACTTGACGGGCACCTGGGTGGTTCAGTGGGTTAAAGCCTCTGCCTTCGGCTCAGAACGTGATCCCAGGGTCCTGGGATCCAGCCCTACATCGGGCTCTCTGCTCAGTGGGGAGCCTGCTTCCCCCTCTCTCTCTGCTTGCCTCTCTGCCTATTTGTGATCTCTGTCAAATAAATAAATAAAATCTTTAAAAAAAAAAAATTCTAGGGGCACCTGGGTAGCTCAGTGGGTTGAGCCTCTGCCTTTGGCTCTGGTCATGATCTCAGGGTCCTGGGATCAAGCCCTGCATCGGGCTCTCTGCTTGGCGGAGAGCCTGCTTCCCCGTCTCTCTGCCTGCCTCTCTGCCTACCTGTGATCTCTCTGTCAAATAAATAAATAAAATCTTTAAAAAAAAAAAATTCTAGGGGCGCCTGGGTGGCTCAGTGGGTTAAAGCCTCTGTCTTCGGCTCAGGTCATGATCCCGGGGTCCTGGGATCGAGTCCCGCATCGGGCTCTCTGCTCAGCCAGGAGCCTGCTTCCCCCTCTCTCTGCCTGCCTCCCTGCCTATTTGTGATCTCTCTCTGTTAAATGAATAAATAAAATCTTTAAAAAAAAAAAAAGACTCACACCTTCCACCCACTGAGCCGGCTGGATGCCCCTCATTTGTGGCGTCTCCTTCCCCTTCTGAGAATGGAAGCTCCAGAAATTCTGTGTTACTGAGGCTCTCCCGGCCTGCAAGGAGCCTCACTGAATTCACATGGTTATTGCCGGCCAAGACAAGAAGACAAGCAGGCAGCTGTGTTTAAGGTCAGAGCTCTGGGGACAGGCTGGTCTGGGCACAGAGATCCGGGCTCTATCAGCACGTGGTGAGTGCTTACAGCCCTGGAACTAGATGGACTAGAACTAGAACGAAATGGACTCCCTAGGGGGTGGGCAGGAGACCCAAGGGCTGAATCTGGGGCAGGCCCCCATTTAGGAGCTGCATGGAAGGGTCAGGAAAGAAGTCTGGGAGGAAACCGGCAGTGCGAGGTGGAGACGCAAGAGCAGTGAGGATTTCAGGAGGCACAACTGGGGGCGGCACCAAGTGTCAGGAGAGGAGGACAGAAAGGCCGGGCGGGGCCCAAAAAAGTGCCAGGACAAACTGGTAAGAGACTCAAGATGGCACAGTTTTGTTCAATATGTGAAAAAAATGACGTGCATGTTTACCTCGTTACCGCGTTAGAACTACGCAAAGGCCGCGTCATCAGTGACTTAACTGAGCACCTTCTCTTCGCCCAGCACAGCCCCAAATGCTTCTCTTTTGTAATTTACGTAGTCCTCACAAGGGCCTGGGGCACCTGGGAGGCTCAGTCAGTTAAGTGTCTGCCTTCGGCTCAGGTCATGCATGACCCCAGGGTCCTGGGATCGAGCCCCAGATCGGGCTCCCTGCTCAGCGGGAAGCCTGCTTCTCCCCTGCCTGCTGCTCTCCCTGCTTGTGGGCACATGCTCTCCCTCTCTCTGTCTCATTCTCTCTCTCTCTGACAAATAAATAGCTTTTAAGAAATAAATATATGTTTATACAAAATAATAGCGTCATAATGCTGAATGGTTACAGATGGTGACTGCACTTACGTCGGTGAACACTGAGTGACCTACAGAAACTGCTGAGTCGATGCTGTACGCCCGGAGTTCATGTGACGCTGTACGCCAGCTATGATGAGAGGAAAACCCTGTTAGGGTCTGACATACAAGGGAAACCATCTTAGAGTTAAGTCAACAGGACTGTACGTAAACTTCGCTCAAACCCAAAGTCTGATTTACGGCCCCCATGCGTGCACTGTACACCTGCTGAAGGAGCAGCCTCAGGAACATCAGCTCGTCCTCGAGATGTCCCTCAGCACTCCCGCTCCCCGCATTCTGTCCCGACAAACTTGTGACTCCTGCCTACGTGCTGATCTATAATCTTTTAAGCTTTTACAAGATGTAAAAAGTATATTATGTCGCAAAAATCATTCATTTCCTGGAGTGCCATCTTCCCTATGAAGATGCATTTCCAGGGCAACCGTCCTAACTTGAGCTCAAATAAAACTTTTTTACTTCTAGTGATTTTTTTTTTTTTAGATTTATTTATTTGAGAAAGAGAGCGTGCACCTGCGCGAGCGCAGGGCGGGAGGGTCAGAGGGAGAATCTCAAACAGACTCCCCGGTGGGGGCAGAGCCTGACCTGGTACTTGACCTCACAACACTGAGTTCGTGACCTTAGCCGAAATCAAGAGTCACTGACTGGGCCATCCAGGCGCTCCAACTCTGACTCTAAAAGGTCTGTTCACTTTGTGTTGACAACTCTGCATGAATTAAAACAAACACGCAAACACACTAGCAAAGTAGGGGCGGCTTCAGGTCTGCGCAGGGGCCGAGAGGCCTTGCAGCTGCCTCACCTGCCGTCCTGAGAGGTGGGGCCAGCCCAGTCCTCTCCGGACCCGCAGCTCCAGCGCTCGGCCGCTGAAACGCCTCACTGTGCATGGGACTCGGAGCTGCTTACTGCCAAGAAAGGACGAAAGAGGCACGTCAGTTAAAGGAGCCTACCAGGCGAGTCGTAACAGTGCAACCTTTGAAAGGAAATAAGCAGCAGGGTCAGAAGCAAAGATGTCGAGAAAGGAAGGACAGGCTAACCGGTGACACACAGGCTAGCTACGACCCAAACATGGGTGAGCGCAGGGAGCTGTGTGACCGCCACCTCAATGAGGGGGGCCCAGCCAGGGCCGTGCTGTTGGCCGGCAGCTGCACTGCCGTCCAAGAACGGAGGAGAAGCAGAAGCAGGGCTGCCTGCGGGAATATGGACCCTCATCCAAGACCAGGACAGCCGGCGAGCAGCAGAAATACATCCAGGTCCGGTGCCCATCCTGCCAGGTCCCGACCGAGCACTCACCTCGTGGCACCTGACACGCGCTCAAATGAGACGCACGGGCGTGTCTAGGACACAGAGGCCCAGGGTCACACAGCTAGGATGGGGCAGAGCTGGCCTCTGGGCCCGTGCACCTAAGCCCCTGTTCAAGGCCATGGTGCACAGACGAGAGTTCTCAATATGCAGCGCGAGGTGTGCTAAGCCGCATTTCAACCAGGCCCAGATCACCTTCCACCAGCTCCTCGCACGCCCCGGGAGAAGTGCTGAGTACAAACTGGTCTGCGGCCGAGCTCGCAGGTGACGACGTCTCAGCTTCCAGGCACAGCTTAACAACTCGACCGCGCCGAGCCTCTCGGACAACGCTTTGTACCGGAAAAACGTGGTCTGCTCAGGTTCACACAGTGATGTGTGTCAGTTATTTGTCTGTAAAGCTGGGGAAAGAAGAGTGAACTTCAACCTGAACTTCACACTTCCAACAAACATTAACTAAACACAAATCAAAATGGGTTATGTCAAGTGTAAAACACAACCTGTAAAACTTTTACTAGAAAATGTAGGAGCAGGCTGCCCGGCTGGCTCGGCTGGTGGAGCTGTGGTCTTCGGGCTCTAAGTTCAAGCCCCACATTGGGTGGAAAGGTTAACTTAAAAATAAAACCTTAGGGTTGCCTGGGTGGCTCAGTAGGTTAAGCCTCTGCCTTCGGCTTGGGTCATGATCCCGGGGTCCTGGGATCGAGCCCCACATCGGGCTCTCTGCTCAGTGGGGAGCCTGCTTCCCTCTCTCTCTCTGCCTGCCTCTCTGCCTGCTTGTGATCTCTGTCTGTCAAATACATAAATAAATAAAATCTTGGAAAGGAAAGAGAGAAAGAAAGAACGAACAAAGGAGAACTTTCTCCTTTGACCTAGGACTAGAGAGAACTTTTAACACATGACATACACAGTCCACAAAAGGTAACAAAAGAATCATCAATACGCTGGACCTCACTGGGGCGAGGCGCTTGCTCTGGGGAAGACCCTGTGAAAAGAACAAAACAAGCTGCAGAGTGGGAGAAAGTGTTTGCAAAGGATACACCCAACCAAGGTTTTCATCTAGAATACGCAGAGAAATCTCAAAAGGCAAAAGTTTAAAAAGTAAAAAAAAATCCAATTAGAAAATGGGCAAAAAGGGGGCGCCTGGGTGGCTCAGTGGGTTAAAGCCTCTGCCTTCGGCTCAGGTCATGATCTCAGGGTCTTGGGATCAAGCCCCGCATCGGGCTCTCTGCTCCTTGGGGAGCCTGCTTCCCCCCCTCTCTCTGCCTGCCTTTCTGCCTACTTGTGATCTCTGTCAAATAAAAATCTAAAAAAAAAAAAAAAAAAAAGAGGAAAGAAAAGAAAATGGGCAAAAAGGACGCACGACACCGAGCCACGCACACACAAGCACACGAAGCTCCATGGCACTGGCCACCAGGAGATACAGACACCAGTGCCGCGACACCTGCCGCGATGCTCAGACGGCCGGAGCCAGACCGCAGAGAGACTGTCACTCACCGCACGCTGCTGGAGTGCAAACGGCAGTCAGTCTGGAAGTTCAGCAGTTTCTTACAAAATCTTAAAAAAGAGAAGTACAGAAGCCAGCCACTGCAAGCTGGCTTTTATCTCAGAGTAGTAAACACATCCGTCCACATGAACACGGCTCGGGAGTGTTCCCAGCAGCTTCATGTGCAATCGCTAGACTGCAGCTGGCCCCCCACAGTCTCTCTTTGAAACAAACGACTAGGGGCGCCTGGGTGGCTCAGTGGGTTAAGCCGCTGCCTTCGGCTCAGGTCATGATCTCAGGGTCCTGGGATCGAGCCCCACATCGGGCTCTCTGCTCAGCGGGGAGCCTGCTTCCTCCTCTCTCTCTGCCTGCCTCTCTGCCTGCTTGTGATCTCTCTCTGTCAAATAAATAAACAAAATCTTTAAAAAAAAAAATAAATAAAATAAAATAAAATAAAACAAACGACTATTCTATGGGTGTGTAAAATGAAGTCGGGGGTTACAAGGGTCTCTGCACTATTTCACAACTTCCTGTCCACCTATAATTATTTCAAAACAATAAAAAAATAAACCTATCGGGCGCCTGGGTGGCTCAGTGGGTTAAGCCTCTGCCTTCGGATCAGATCATGATTCCAGGGTCCTGGGATCGAGCCCCGCATCGGGCCTCTGCTCAGCAGGGAGCCTGCTTCCTCCCTGCCTCTCTGCCTAGCTCTCTGCCTGCTTGTGATCTCTGTCTGTCAAATAAATAAATAAAATCTTAAAAAATAAATAAATAAACCTATCAAAACTACAAAAGGGCAAATATATTTAAAAACCTTCTATTACCCATTATCTAGAAGCTGTTCATCTTTACTCACAAAAACTAATGTGATGACAAGGTTGTTCCAGTACCTTAACTGTTTGAAAAGGATGAGATTCGAATTCCATCTAAATTCATGCACATTCTTAACAGGATTATTTTTTTAAGTCTCTTTTTTAGGGGGGCCTGGGTGGCTCAGTCCGTTGGGCATCTCACTCTGGGTTTCAGCTCAGGTCATGATCTCGCTGTTGTAGATTGAGCCCCCCGGCCGGTTCTGAACTCGGCGCAGAGTCTGCTTTAGAGTCTCTCTCCCGCTCCGTCCTGTTCTCTAATAAATAAACAAAATCTTTTAAAAAAAAAGTTTCATTTTTAAGTCATCTCTGCACTCAATATGGGGCTCGAACTCATAACCCTGAGATCAAGAGCGGCACACCCCGCCAAAGGAGCCAGCCAGGTGCCAAAGCACAAATCTAATTTTATTTTATTTTTTTAAATATTTTATTTATTTATTTGACAGAGAGAGATCACAAGCAGGCAGAGAGGCAGTCAGAGGGGGAGAGGGGGAAGCAGGCTCCCCGCGGAGCAGAGGCCCAATGTAGGGCTCGATCCCAGGACCCTGGGATCATGACCTGAGCGTAAGGCAGAGGCTTCACCCACTGAGGCCCCCAGGCCCCCCACAAATCTAATTTTAAAAAACTCTGGCACTGGGGAATTTTATTAGGAGAAAAGTGTTGGGCAGCAACGTTTCCTAGAAGTCACACATGCTGGGCAGGGGACAGGCTGAGATGGCAGTGAGAAACCCAGGACAGGAGTCAGACACACCACAGACCGACGGGACGTCCATGACACCCACTGAGAGCTCTCAGTTTGTCCTGGTTAAAAATACTGAATGAAAAAGAAAAGCTTATTTGGTGACAGAAGCAGGAAAGTGTTGAACCTCACTAGCGGGCGCGGAGGTGGACAGGTGTGTAGAAGCTCGCGCTCCCCTCCTCCCACCCGCGGTGCCCAGGGCCGGCAGGGATGCGACCCCACCGCGGCCGCAGGGGCAGCGTGCGAGCGGAGGGAGACCTTCCGGGCCGTTCTCCGGCCACCGAGCCAGGAGCCTGACCCGCGACCCCACGAGCGGAGCAGGCGGGGACGGGAAGGGGCTGTTACACACGCGCGGCCGCGCTCTCCCGGGCGGGCGAGAAGAGCGGGGTCCGCCGGCTCTGAGGGCAGCCGGGCAGCCGCCAGCGCGCGCCGCAACACGGTTCGCAGACACGCATCCGCGGGGCCCGCCGGGCTGCTTCTCCAGCCGCTCCGGTGCGGGACACTCAGGAGCCGGCGGTCGCGCCTCCAGCAGAACAGCGACGCGCGGGGCCCTCCGAAGCCTGGACGGCCAGAGGGGCCTCGCGTCCTCAACAGGTGTGGAGAGGGCAGCGGCGAGGCTGCCGGACGGGCCCTCGGGCGCGGCTCCCGCCTCTCCGGGGCGCCGGCGGGCTCCCCCCGAAACTCCCCCAGCGACTGTCCGCGTTCAGAAAAGTCCGGGGATTTCGGGGAATAAAGACGCGGGGCTGGACCCCCACGACAACCGACACGAACGCCTGCGTCTGCCGTCCGCGGGGGAAGCCCGGGGAAACCGACGGCTGCCTCCCCTGCGGCCGGGGCCGGTGGGGCCCGAGAGCGGGAGCAAGTCCGACGCAAGGAGCCGAGCCGCGGCGAGGGCTCCCCTCCGGCGCCACCACTGAGTGCCCGCGGCTCCGGCCCCCGACCCTGCCCAGGTGCCGGCGGCGGGGGCAAAGGTCACAGCGAGGGCACGGCAGGGCGGCGGGTACGGCCTCCCGGGGAGCGAGTCCGCGGAGGGCGTCGTCCGCAGACGGGCGACAACTGCCCCCCTAGGCCCGGGGCGTACGCCCAGGCGAGCGAGCAGGTCCGCGGTGCGGGGCAGAGGCGCGCCCCGGGCGGGCGGGGAACAGGAACCTGTTACTCAGAATCCCGGCCCAGGGCATCCGTTCGCTCGCGTCGGGCCCTGCTGCCGTCGCCAGGCGGGCGGCCCCAGCCACCGAGGGCCCGACCCTCCGGGCTGCCCGCCGACCCGACTCCGGATGCGGCCGGCGAGGGCGGCCGTCGCGCCCCCAGGCCCACACCCGGGCGGCGAGCAGGACCCTCCCCCCCGGCCCCGGCCTCGGTCCCCGCGCTCCCAGGTCCCGGGCCGCCCCGCGACCCCGGACGGCGGCGACCGCGGGCGGAGGGCCGGGCCGGCCGGCCGCGCGCACTCACCGTTCGCTGCCCTGGGCGCTTGCGGGGCCGTCCCCTCTCTGGACCGAGCCCGCGGGCCACGCCGCCCCGCCGCCGCTCACCGTCGCTAGCCGGGCCCCGACGCCGCGGCCGCCTCCCGCCCCATGGCCGCCAGGCGCCCCACGGCCGCCGGGACCGCGGCGCCGGCCCGCCGAGCAGCAATCAGCCAGTGCGCACGCGCGCCCCGCCCACGCAAGCGCCCCGCCCCGCGCGCACGCCCCGCCCCACGCATGCGCCTCGCCCCGCCCCGCCCCGCGCGCACAGCCCGCCCCACGCATGCGCCTCGCCCCGCCCCGCGCGCACGGCCCGCCCCCCCGCATGCGCCCCCCCCGCACGCGGGGGCGCGAGCGAGGACCTGGGGCTGAGGGTGGGGGGGCCGGGTGTTGCGGCCTGGGGGGTCCGTAGGGCTGGAGGCGGGAGGCCCGCGGTGGGACATCGGCTGCCCCGACCCCGATAGCGGCCGCCGCGAAGAACCTTGGTTCCCACTTATCCCGCCGCGTTGGCAGCACGTCCACTCGCACCCCTTGCCCCTGCCCCCTTGCCACCCCCGCTCCCCTCCACCGCGGGCGGGGTGGGCTGGCTGCTGACCCCCGCGAGGGGTGACAGCATCCGCTTAGGATGCCGTCACTGACGGGGTGTGAATCTGCTCAGAAGGCACATGTTTTGGGAACTAAAACTGGTTGCGGGCAGCTGCGACAGCGAGGCCCCTCCGGACAGCCAGCGGGTGCGGCGGGGGAGGGGCGCCGCGGGCCTCTCCCACCACAAGCAGCCCGGCGGGGCCCTACGCGACACCGGGACTACTGGGGCTCTGGGCCTGGGATGTCAAAGGGGCCCCTCCAGGGTGACCTGCTGGCACCGTCATCCCCCACCCGCCTCACCATCACCACTCGAGGACACAGAGGAGAGAGGAAGGGGACCAAGGACACAGTTACCCACTTTGTAGCTTCAGGTGGAGCTCCAGGCCTCCCCCCTCAGTCCACCCAGGAGTCAGGTGT